AATTCACTCATAGAAATGTGGTAGAGACAGAAATACTCATTCTATGTTAAAAATGCTTGGGTTTGCATTTGAAGTCTGTTAACATAAGGACGATGGACAAAAACTGTAGTTTCATTTATGCTGTTCATTCTTTTCCACTGACACAAACATGATGGGCTGTTTCTGTATTTCTATATGGAAACCTACTTTTTAGAAAATGAAGGAAGGTCTGCGTGGAATCCCTTCAAGCTGAAGCAATATGCTGCATCTAATTCTATCCTTGTGTAAATAACTATCTGAGTGCAGGTAATGACTAACAAGACAAGGAGGTGATAATATCAGCTTTGGGGGAAAAAATTTAGCCTCCCACACTCAATATTGGCTCCTGAGATTAGCAGCCTCCTGAAATGCTGTTAGTAGTGTGTTTTTAGGCATCTATTCAGTGTCCATCTAGTACTTGTTATGAACCAGAAACTAATGTTAAGGAGTTGGAAGTTTCACAAACACAGTTGGCAAAATAAAAGTGGCAAGTGTCCTGCATACAATCATGTGTGTGCATAAATGAGCATACATTACTGTGCTAAGTTGTAAGGTCTTTATTTTGGAGCTCTTTTATAGTTTCACTATGTTAGAAGCTTCAGTGCAGACTGAAACTTTAATATTTGTCATGTTGTAGCATTATCATGTATGTTAAGCATTCAAAGAATTGTAGGATTGAATGATTTGATAGAGCAGCAAGTGATTAACATTTAATGTCATGTGGTCAGAGCACCACAGCCATCTATGGAACTGTTTGGTATTCTTACATTGTCTTCATATTTGCCAATTCTGCTGCATTTCTTTATAAGTCTTCTAGATCTTCAAGATGTTTTAGAATTTACAGCAATCTTACTCGCTTTTCCCTATGCTGCCTCTCACCCAATCTAAAACCTTCCCAAATTCATGCACCTTAGTTGGCGGCATGTTCTGCACATTATTCCATGTGTAACATGGCATCCTCTGTTCCATCAGTGAGTTGCAATGACCTTATATAAGACTCCCCCATCAGTAAAAAACAAAGATACTTTTTTTTCAAAGTTTCTTTCAACACAATTTCTATTACAGTCTTATGAAGGTCTACTGGAACAGCACACCATGTGGTGGCAGTGGCATAATGGTAATATCATTAAGAACCATGCCCATTATTCAATTATTGCACACTGACTTTTTTTGGTCTTTAATCAGCTCTATACTTTGTTTAGTTGTGCATTTGTTCTTTACAAATTTATTATCCTTGATTTTACTTATCAATTTTTTTATGTGCTCTCTTTGTTTTCCTAACTTCCTTTTTAATCTCACCCCTGCATTTTTAAATCTCATCTAGGCTTCTGCATTGAGGTTTTGTAATTCAAAGATCCAGGCTCAAATTAAACTGTGGCAACTGATGGAATTTAAATTCAATTAATAAATCAGGTATTGAAAATAATCTCAGTCGTGCTAACCAGGAAACCATTGTTTCATTTTGTTCAAAATTGCCGTTAAAAATCTCATTTGTTTCACTATTCACTTTTAAGGAAGGAAATCTGCCTTCATTACCTGGGCTGTCCTAAGTGTAACTCCAGACACACAGTAATATGATTGACTCTTATTTGTCCCTCTGAAATGGCTGAGTAAGCCACTCCAGTCAACACCAATTAAGAATGGACAACAAATTCTGGCCTTACCAGTTGCACTCACATCCCATTTAAAAAAAAAGAAAAAAGCACAAATCTTCTGATTAGGTAGTTAAGAGCTTCTATGTGCAATCCACTGGGTAGACAACAGTTTCCCAAATACATGTCATTAATCTCAAAATTGCGAGTAATGGTGGGAATAGCCAGGAAGAGATTAGATGGGCATCAAAACACACCTGTCAAAATTGCCCAGATTGGATGTCCTACACGTGCTCCTAAAGTTCAATGCAGATGGATACAAGGAGTCTTGTGGGGAGTATCAAGAGCAGCCAATTGGTCAAAAAGCCTAGTTCTGTGCTGCATGCACTAGGAATCTTTATGCAATATTGTACCATCATTTTCATCCATTTCCTTAAATATTGAACAGGTTAACATTTTCTAGCTAGTCATTACTTATTGCCAGTCCTCAGATATTAGGGCTCAGCCTTTTTTTCCCTCCATTACTCTGTTTTCCACAGTTTAGATGCCTTACCTATAATCCTGCGAACAAAACTGACTGCAATCCCCAGAATTCTGATTGCTTTATTGACTAAAAATATGGACGAGCTAAATTGTTAACTGCAACTCCCAGATCTCATGTAGCTTTTCTCCCTGGTTGGTTTAGCACTTCACTGAGTAAGAGCAATATATGATTTTATTTTGTAACCTTTAACAACTGTATTGAATTTCACCTGCCAGGTCATTTTAGCCAAATGCATATTTAGTCTAGTTCTTGGTGTCACCCCTTCACTGAATTATTAAATACGATTGATCCTCTGCCTTTTCTACCCTTATACCTGCAAATTTGACCAAGTTTTGTTGTATGGAATATTTCACTGTATTGACTATGTGAGAGCTTGTAAACACCTGTTAATGGCAGCCAAAGTAATCAGACAGAAAAACGTGTAAATCAATATAAAAATTGCAAAAGCTAGAACATTCCCCACCCCACCCCACCCCGTGATGGAGCGTTAAACTAATATACCTGACAATCAAAACATTCTCTACTTAACAACCAGCTCCCAACACTACTATTCTTTTGACCTAGAGTCATAATTGTAGGCATTGTCTATAGCACCTGCTTCAGTTATTAATCTATAGACACATAACGGAAACATATAGAGAGCCAACCTTGAATAATGTATAAATATCAAATATAACATTATTAACCACACCGCTATAACCCACAGGAACTGTGATCATTGGCCCTCGAAACTCAATTTACGAAACCTGAAAATGCAATAAAGCTGCACAGCATAAAAAGGCAATTGAACTGCTTTTGGCACGGTGGGATTGTACTGTATAATGAAAAAAAATCGTTAACAGAGCATTGTGCGGTTGCAATTGAGTATTGCCTTATGCTGTGCCTCACAGGTTCCAAAATTACTATGCTACTTGGCTCTGGTTCCAATGCCTCCGCAGTGTAGCTCCTTCCCACGGCGCAATGGGCTACAAAGAATCGCGTGGTACAAGAAAAAGCTCTCCGCTGCAGGTGTACTCATAATGAAGATAATTGAAATGCTGATTTTTGTTGAAGTGAAGTTTGGTGAAAGTAACGCGTTTAAAAAAAAGAGACATAATATAGAAAAATTTTCGCCAGCAACCCTCGGAGCTGGATATTATATTGCAAATGATGTGCAAATATCATTCACAATACTCGAATTCAGTCCTCTGTGTTTGCAGATAACCTGCCTTGCGATTGCTTTTGAGTTGAAAGACATGCAGCTATAGTCCGGCTCCCAAATGCTACAATCGTCGAGAGATGTGCATTGAATATACTGAGCATGTTGTTATTATAAGGTGTTGGGCAGTTTCAGCCTTTGGAAAATGTCAACAATCTGAGAAATAAATACTTTCTTTTTAAGAAGAAAGTTCGGTTCCAATTAAATGCTGGAGAAAAAAAAATACTGACATGCTTGACTTAACAGAAGGGAAAACGATGCAGTTTCAGACTTTTAATAACGAGAATAGTTGAAGGGCAGAGTGCTTTAATCAATAGAAGAAAGGCTTCTACGCCGAAAAGGGCAGTTTTTGATTTACGCACCGCCGCTGGCGTACTGAGAGAGTGAAGAAACAGTATCTGACATGAATCAAAGGCACGGTCATATTGCTTCGACTTACCCTTTTACCAGTCCATGTGCATTTCTGGCAGAAATGCCGTTTCTCTAAAGTTACTACATATGGATGATTTATGCCTTAGCTCTGGGCAACTTGTTAAGAAAAACCGTATTTTCCTCTTCTATACCTTAACCCTCTCTAAAACCAAAACATTTTATCACGTTTCGAGGGAGCTTAATTATTTTTCGAAGATCACATCCGGTATTGCAATAAGATGTTGTTCCTAATGAAGCCTGAAATCAGATTACCTGCCGTGGAATGCTGGGATTGACAGAATACCTCAGAGCAGGCTGTCGGATAGGCATGGGGGTTGGGGGTGGGGATGGGAGAGTCAGATCTTAAATATCTGGTACTGAAATTACAACCGCGAGCCTTCAAACAGTCAAGATGAATCTAACTTCGCGCCACCTCAAGGGCTGTTGTAATGGTGTTATCTGAACGCCAGTGATTAAAATAGTTTGAATTTATCAAGCTGATCTTAAGCAATTCTGATTATTTTATTGCAGAAGCTGTTTTATCAATCTGCTTAAAACATTATTTTGCTGCAAGTTATCAAAGCAGTTCAAAGGGTTTCTGCAGAAGACTGTTCCCTTTGATGCAGGCACATAAATACTGTTTATCAGATTTGCTGTGGGCTTCTTAGACCCAGTGTCCCTGTCACTCTGATTTACTGTAGGTAGTCTTGACTTAGCTTTAATTCGTGGTGGAAATATCTTTCAGCAAACCGTCAGGGGTTAAAGTACTTTGAATTCACTTTTTTTTAAGTTTGTGAAGGCTATATCCTGCACTATAGTACTGGGGTAAATTTCGTAAGAAGGTACCTCTTCATTCATTCCCGTTCAAGGAATGAGCAATGCACCATGGAGACCTGAACCCTGTGAAAAAGATAAATCACAGTTTATGGATCATTCCAGATGTGACAGTAGTAACCCGTTTACGGCGCTCTGTGGTCCAATCATCGCGCAATGCAATCAATGATTCTCCATTTACCTAGTGCCACTAAATTGATGCCAGCGGTAACTCCCAGTCATGAGCTGGTTCGCTGGAATACCCACAAAAAAAACCCTGTAAGCATTCTATCCCTAAAAATGTAAGCACCTGTCATGAGCAACTATTTAATAAGTGTTATCTGCTGTGGGCTATTCCACCGTTAAGATATGCAGCTGGGAGTTTAGTCGTGCCCAATAGCGAATTGGGTGAATTCAGTGGCAGCTAGGTACTCACCTCGCTAGATCCATTTGTTGCTACGTTTGCCCCACCTGAGATTTGCCTCCTCCACGCACTCACGTAGGGGTTAGCAGGTTTCGAGTTACTACCCGCGGCGGGAGGTGGTGAAATGTACGGTTTGAGGAACATTAAGTCGGTCTTAGCCGATTCGGGACTCAAACACACTTTGTAGCAATAGGTTTGGGAAAGAGAACGGCTGCCGCCTACCTCCATACAGCTGGGCGGCCCTTTGACACTAGGAGGCAGTTGGAAGTTGGTGTGAGAGTTGTTGAGAACGGCCCGGGAGGGCTTTCTCCGGAGACAGCAGCGGGATGGCCCGGAACGGCAGCAACAACAGGCGCTCAGAGAGCAGCGCCTGCCCAGGGTCCCGTGTCTGCTCCTTCTGTGACACTTAATAGAGATCAAGGCGATAATGGCCACCAGGAACACGAAGGAGATGGAGCCCAGACAGACGATTAAATAAAGGTTGAACTCCGAGAAGTGTTCGATGCCCTGGGGTCCCTCGGTCAAATCTGAGAAGTTCTCCGGCAGACTGTCAACGATGAAGACATTAATAGTGACCGAGCTGGAAAGCGGTGGCTTCCCGTGGTCTGTAACATGAACCACCAGCCTGTGCTTGTGGGAGTCGTGCTCTTCAAAGCGGCGGCTCGTGCGGATTTCCCCGGTGAACGGGCCGATGCTGAACAGACCGGGTTCGGTGGCTCGGTATAGCTGGTAAGAGAGCCGCGAGTTCTGGCCCGAATCGGCGTCCACCGCCGTCACCTTGACCACCGGGTAACCGGGATCGGCGGAACGGGGCACCATCTCAGCCGATCCGTTCAGGGGCAGCGGGGATACGATGGCCGGCGCATTGTCGTTCTGGTCCAGGATGATCACGTTCACCGTCACGTTGTTGTGAAGAGACGGGAAGCCGGCGTCCCAAGCTTGAACAAACACCTGAAACTTCTTCAGTTGCTCGTAGTCAAAGGAACGCAGTGCGTACAGATTGCCCGTGTTCAGGTTGATGGAGACATACGTGGAGATGGGGGTGCCCCTGACTTTGCTGTTTAAGATGCAATAGGACACATAGGCGTTCTGCTCAAGGTCTGGGTCCAGGGCAGACACTGAGCAGATAGAAGCGCCCGGCGCGTTATTCTCCATCAGGTAAACCGTGTAGGAAGGATGTGCAAAACGGGGCGCGTTGTCGTTCACATCGGAAACCTTCACCGGGATGGTTTTGACGGTGGAAAGGGGAGGGGAGCCGGAGTCGGTGACTGTTAAACTCACGTTATACTCCAGCACGCTTTCACGGTCCAGCCTCTCGCTGGTGACCAGAGTGTAATAGTTCGTGAAAGAGGATTGGAGTTTGAAGGGGACCTGAGCCGGGATGTGGCAGCTGGTTTTCCCGTTAGCGCCAGAATCCCGGTCGCTGACGCTGATCAGGGCGATGACAGTCCCCGGTAAAGCGTCCTCCCGGACCGGGCTGGACACAGAAGTGAGGGTGACCTCGGGGGCATTGTCATTGACATCAATAACCTCCACCACAACAGTGCAATGCACAGCCGCTGTGTGGGGACCGTTATCCTTGGCCTGGATATAAATCTCATAAACGCTCGCCTCTTCATAATCCACCACCCCTTGGACCCGAATTTCGCCGGTTTGGGGCTCTACCCGGAATAGTTGGCGCAATCTCGCTGGCGCATGGTGACTAAAGGAATAAGTCACCTCTCCATTTGAGCCTTGGTCCAAATCGGTGGCGTTAAGTTTAATCACCAACGTATTTATCGGAGCGTTCTCCACCAGGCAGACCGTGTACACAGCCTGGTCAAAGACCGGCGCGTTGTCGTTAACATCAAGGACGACCACGGTGAGCAGAGCGGTACCGGATCTCTCTGGGAATCCACCGTCCAGGGCAGTCAGCACCAACTGGTGGAGAGCTTGGTTCTCCCGGTCCAGAGGCATGTCCAGCACCAGTACCGGGAATTTCCTGCGCTCGCTGCGGGTCTGCACCTCCAGGCTGAAGTACGGGTTAGGGCTGAGCCGGTAGGTTTGGAGAGAATTGGTGCCTACATCGGGATCGTGCGCGCTCTCCAGCGGGAAACGCGCCCCGACAGCCACCGACTCGGCGATTTCCAAACGGAACTCCCTCCACGGGAACCCGGGAGAATTGTCATTCACATCCAGGATCTCCACTTCCACTCGGTACAGCTCCAGTGGGTTTTCAATCACAATCTCCAAATGCAGGAAGCAGCTGGTGCTCAGATCACACAGCTGCTCCCTGTCCATCTTCTCATTCACGAAGAGGACTCCATTCTCTAGGTTCACCTCCAGGAACTGCGTGTTGGCACCGGGCACGATGCGGAACCTGCGAGCAGACAGTTCTCTCACATTCAATCCCAAATCGTCGGCGATATTCCCAACGAACGCCCCGTGCTTCAGTTCTTCGGGAATCGAGTACCGAATCTGGCCGGCCACCCGATCCCAAACACAGCTCGATATAATGCAGGTGATCACTTGCCATTTTAACCAGGTACTCGCCATCTCCAATGTCGCGCCTCGGTCGGATCCCAGCTTTCCAAGTTCTCCTTAGCTTCAGCATGGGGAGGCACAAGGAAAGAAAGAAATAGGCATTGTTTCAGTGAAAAGTGAACAGGCGAGATGCGTAAAGACGCACATTGAGGCTCCAGAGCGAAAGCTCACAGAGACGGAACAGCGTTCCCATAGCGTCTCCGGCTGCGGTTCCTCACAATCTTCTTCCCGGCGCTTCACCCACTCCCAGCCCTCAGCTGGTTCGGAATTCTCACTGCTCCGGTGGAAAAGCGGCACTGCAGTTTGATGTAACCATCTCCGGCTGCACTTCACCACCTCATTGGAGGACTCCGGCAGGACTACATTAACCCTATGATGACTACAACAGCCGATATTTACAATGCTAATACCTCCGGAACTGTGAGGTGGGAATATAATGGTGTGAAGTGAAAAGCAACGAGGATTAAAAGGAGAAAAGACTTGCATTAGTACAGAGCATTTCGCCACCTTGGGATATCCGTAAGCACTTTGCAGCCACCGAGTAATTTTGAAATTTTGAAAGCAAGAGATTTTTCTGAAGAAGGCTGTAAGAGCCGGATTGGAGGTGAGGGGATCATTCTCCGGCAGTCTAGGAAAAGATTAACACGAACAAAAACAGAAATTGCTGGAAAACCTCAGCAGGTCCGGCAACATCTGTAAAGAAATTCGACCCAAAACGTTAACGCTGAATTCTCTCCACAGATGCTGCCAGACTTTCTGAGGCTTTCCAGCAATTTCTGTTTTTGTTTCTGATTTACAGCATCCATATTTCTTTCGGTTTTTATTTGGAAAAGATGAAGTTTTCTTTCCCTCACCTTAGAAATCTCGCTGATTTCATTAGCAGACATAGCTCTGGTTTTGGCTCTGTCATAGAGTCATACAGCACTGAAACAGAGCCTTCCGTCCAACTGGTCCATGCTGACCAGGTTTCCCAAACTGAACTAGTACCATTTGCCTACGTTTGGTCCATATCCCTCTAAAGCTTTCCTATTCGTGTATCTGTCCAAATGTCTTTTAAATGTTGTAACTGTAACTGGATCTATCACCTCCTCTTGCAGTTGTTGTAGAGCGGAAGTTGACCCGCCTATGAGATCTAAAAATGAAGCTCCCAGAGAGGAGCGTCATACCCTATAATCTGTAAAAGGAGTGCGAAAAGTGGTGTAACTTGCTTTTCAGCAACTTCTAGTGGTCAAATAAAATAATTCCCTGACGCTTACTCTAAAATCAACAAGTAACAATTTATTTATCTAACTCTAACAGTGAACAACTTAACTAAGCTATTAACAAACTAAATAAACCCCTTCTAACTACTAACTATTCCTGAATAAAACAAGATTCTAATGATATACTGTTCCAATAAATAGAAGTACCATTTATAAAAAACAAATGTAGAATTTAGTCTCTTGAAATTACAGTTAGGTTACATGTCTTCCATCAATTCCACTGTCAGGAATGCCTTCTCCGTCAATTCTTCTGTCAGAAATATTCACTAGTTGTGCTATGGGTACAATTGTTCTTTAGATGGTGCTTTCTTTAAGACATAGGGTAGGCTGTGAGAGCCAGTAATTCTCTCTTGTGAGCTGAGAGCTGTTAAATCTGAGCTGGCAGTGAGTGGTCCTGTCTTTGTCCAACTGCCCTCTTCTTCTATGCCCTTGATTACATAACAATTTCTTACACTATGATTGGTCCTATGTTGTCAAAACCATCAGATTTAAATTTAATTGGTTTTTGGTATCTGAGAGCCTGGTTCAAATTGATTGGCTAAATTCAAAATTTGTTGTCTTGGTAAAAACTGTGGCTTGGTCTGCCAACTGTATGGCCTTTTGATACAAACATTTCAATTCGGGTGCAGTCAGTGTACTTGCGAGCTTTCAAGGTGCTGCTCACAGACATCCATTTTAAATCTCTAAGCATAGAAAAAGTCCATTATCTTTTAAAAGGACCTCACAATGCTTTCCTCCCTAGCATTTTACAAACAGCAAATTCTACCTTACTGCCTCCAAATCCACAAGTACTCTATCCAACTTCACAACACAGTTCATTCCACATACAAACCACACTTTGTGTGAAAACGTTGCCCTGTTGGTCCCTTTTAAATCTTTCTCCTCTCACCTTAAAAATATGTCCTCTAATTTTGAACTCCCGTGCGCTTGGGAAAAGACCTTCACTATTCAACTTATTTATGCCCCTCATAATTTTATAAACGTCTAGAAGGTCATGTCTCAACCTCCTATGTTCCAGGGAAAAAAGTCCCAGCCTATCCAGCCTCTCCTCATAACTCAAACTGTCCAGTCCCTGTAACATCCTTGCAAATCTTTTCTGCACCCTCACCAATTTAATAATATCCTTTCTATAGCAGGGCAACCAGAACTGTACACAGTACTCCAAAAATAGCCCCACCAGTGTCCTGTACGACTGCACGATGACGCCCAACTCCAATACTGAATGATCTGAAGGAAAGCATGCCAAACTGCCCTACAAATGGTAGAGGTGATTTGTAAAATAAACACTTTGCTTGGTGAACAGGCTGCTGTCTGTCTTCTGCCCTATGTCCCACACCCTCCAACACATTGCTTGGCACAGCAATTTTCAGCAGCGGAAAACAAAGGACTTCCATTTGTTTTTTGACAACCTGACGGCATCATAAAGTGATTTGCAACCAGTTAAGTATCCCTTAAAGTAAGGTCACTGTTGTCACTGTAGGAAATAGAGCAGCTTGTTTATTTTAAGTAAATTTCACATCATGGGCATTTGTCTTCCAGATACTGATGTCCAAAACAAACTCTGTAGCAATGTGACCCCTGACAAATGATCTGGTATTGTGCCATTAATTGAAGAATAAATGTTACTTTGGAAAGTAGGAACAACTCCCAGCTGCTTTGAAATAATATCATATCATCTTGCACACCCACAATGGAAAGACCTCAGATAAGGCCTCAGGTTAACACTCATTGGAAAGACAGCATGACTTTACTGCACTGGAGAGTCAGCTTAGATATACTTACATGACTGAAGGGAAATTTGAACATGCAATCTTGTAACACAGAGGCAAGGTTACAACCAAATGTACACCACCGTTTCCATCCCTCAACCTATATGAAGAAAACTTATTATTCAGCCACCTCTTCATTTGTACAGGAAATGAAGTTTTCCTATTTAAGAAGAATTGCACTTTGAAAGTAATCCATTGGATGTGTCAAACTTTGGGAGCTCCTGAATAATTAAGGAGCTATACACAAACAAAAAAGCAAAATACAGTGGATGCTGGAAATTTTAAATAAAAGCTGAAACTATAGAAAACACTGAGCAGGTCAAAAACATTGAAAAATGTGGGCAAGGCCCAGTCAAATATAAGAAAAATGCTATGACAGCCCAGTATTCAGAGAAGACATGGGCAGGAGAAGGCACATGGGAGGTCTAGACATCTAAATTGTTTCTATTTTATTGCTTGGAACTTGACTGATAAGACGTATGAACTTAGATCATTGATCAGCATGTGGGAATATGATATTGTAGCAACCACTGAGACATGGTTAAAGGAAGGACAGGACTGGCAGCTCAATATTTAGGTTATTCAAGCACATTGAGGAGGGGGAGACAGTAAGAGAGGTGGGGTCATTGTGTTATTGATAAAGGAAATTATCACTGCAGTAATGAGGGAGCATGTCCTAGAAGGGTCTTCAAATAAGGCTATCTGGGTAGAACTTAGAAATTTAAAAAAGGGTGATTACCTTACTGGGATTATACATTCTTCCCAACAGCCAGAGGGAGATAGAGGAGTAGCTATGTAGGCAAATCAGAGAAAGGTGAGAGAGAAGTTGCTTATAGTTGTAAGGGATTTCACCTTTGCTAACATTAACTGGGATGACCTTCAAGTGAGAGGATTAGACAGGGTGGAATTTTGAAAGTTCATCCAGGATTGCTTTTTGTACCAGCATGTGGATAATCCCACTAGAGATAGGCCAGTGCTAGACCTAATCCAAGGGAAAGAAACTGGTCAAGTGGTTGAAGTTTCAGAGGGCAAGTATTTGGGGATAATGACTATAACACTGTAAGGTTCAAAGTCATTATGGAAAAGGAAAAGAATGGTGCAGAATTTAAGTGTCTAAATTGGAGGTAGGCCAATTTAATATCATTAGACAGGATTTGACAGACATAGACTCGGATCAGCTACTTACAGGTAAATCTACCTGTGGAAAGTGGAAATCTTTTAAAGGTAGTAGAGTGGGAATTTAGGGCCAGGATTGCTCTAAGAGTGAAGGACAAGAGCAGCAATTCCAGGGAACCCTAGATGTCAAGGGATATTGAGAACGTGATAAAGAAAAAGAAGGAAGCACATGTCAGGTACACCACATTAAAACAGGGGAGGGTCTTCAAAAGTATAGAGAGTGTAAGGGGTTACGAATAAAGAAATTAGGAGGGCAAAGAGGGACCTTGAAATATCTTTGGCAGATAGGATCAAGGAAAACCCCCAAGGCTTTTTTATAAATATTTTAAGTGTGAGAGGATTACCAGGAAAAGAGTGGGAGCTTTTTCAAGACCAAAAGGGCAACATGTGCATGGAACGAGAGGACATGAGTGAGGTTTTAAATGAATATAACTATCAGTATTCACACAGGAGAAAAACATTGTAGCCAGGGATTTTGCTTGGGATGGTGAGTTTCCAAAACATGTTAAGATTAATAAGGAGGAGGTATTAGATATTTTTTGTGGGCAAAAAGGTGCATAAATCCACAGCATCTAATGGGATATATTCCAGACTGCTATGCAAGAGAGGAGAACGTTGGGTCCCTGGCAGATTTAGTTAATACTTTACTGGCCACAGATGAAGTGGCAGGCGATTAGAGGATAGTTAATGTGATTCCTTAGTTCAAGGAGGTCAGCGGGGAATAGGCCAAGTAATTACAGATCAGTTAGTCTGATGTCAGTGGTAGGGAAATTATTGGAAAAAATTCTGAGGAACTGAATTAATC